ATCAAAAGTTTAAGCGTCTTACAACATAAGGTTAAAACCTTACAATTATCAAATTCATTATTCAAAGACATAAAATTACATTAAAACATGATAAATCCCCCATAGTCATTCCCATAACTCTCGTCGTGCTACTTCATCTCTGCCTCATCTGCAACGCCATCTACTCCCGTACAAGTACGATCATCGTAGGTGGAAACCACAACCACAACATTTCAGGGTGAGTAACGAAGAATCTAACATAGCATATAATTTAAATATCAAAATATCATAACTTAGATTATCCTAGTCACAACCTTACAATACAACACAATATTCAACTCGTAACTCAGATCATCACCACTTAGACTATCAAGTCACAATATTACAATACAACACAATATTACGACTCAATCATTTACTCAAGCTTCTGTTGTTTCCTTGAATTTTGTCGTACCAAACCTGTTTCGCAAAACAGGGCGATTCGAGCCATCTTCCATCGCAACTTCAGACCTATCTCCCCGACCTTTCAAGGAATTACGAGTAAAAACTTCGGTTAGGCGCACCCACCGAGCACTATACTCACACGAGCCGAAGTCATTGGGCGAGACATTCAACCCTCTCTGGTCTTCTCAGTGAGCTTGAAGCATTATTTTGGTTTTATGAGGATTTGAACTTGAGACCAAGTACACATACCCTCCATGCACACTCACATCAACCACTAAACCAAGCTCCATTCGCTGACATAATAGCGCAAACAATTATACTAAAACACTCTATCAAACTTTTCCGAAAATTAATATAAAACCAATATTAATTTAATTTTCTTCCCTTCCTTAAATATTTTTCAACATTGATTCTCATCACAAGTTATTATATAATACCACAAAGTAAAATAGTTAAGGTAAGAAATCATTTTATTTTGACGAGTCTTACATTAACTGCAATTCAATAACATGAAATCAGTGTTTTAAAATTAGGATTGAATTGGATAAGAAACTGAATTTGTATTACATCTCTCCTATTTAATAAATAGTCCTTCATTTGACATTTTTGCCAGTGTTTTTTATATTTTTAAAGGTTAAATATGTTTTTAGTTCCTAAACTATATCACGCGATTTTGGGTTTCGTCCCTCTTCGAAAGGTTTGTTCATTTTCATCCTCTTAGTTTTAAAACTCTTACTTTTAGTCCTTAAAATTGAACGACATTAATTTTTCTTTGATGTGGCAAACGACGAGCCACGTGTTATGCCACCTTCCCTTGTTATTGTGTGTCACGTTGCTTTTCTTCTTTTTTTTATCCTCCTACGACTCCATCGTCACCTTCACCTCTTTCATCTCCATCCCCAGCTTTGCTCCTCTGCCAACGACACCTTCTCCGCGAGTAGAAAGAGAAAAAGGTTCCCAAGTAGCAAGTAGAAAAAGAAATCAGAAGCAAAGAAAACCTAAAACCTGTCTTTGAGCTCGCCATAACACTGACCTGATCTAGTTCTTTCAAATTTATTCATCTATTTAAATTGTCGCCACCCAAATGCAGCTCCCAGCTTGGTTTATGTTTCTCTGTTTATTCAGAACTCCATACTAGATTGCTACTTTTCCTTTGTCAAAAACACTTGATGAGCCAACACTACTAGTGTCCCGGGGAAGTCAAAGAAATCCAATTTTTGAAATCTTCAAGATTCTGGTAAGCATATTAAGTTATGTAAGAATTCATTTAGCGCTACTGGCTACAAATAACAAAAGCCGAGACAAATTCTATGGAGTTTCAGTCATGGATGCATTTAAAAAGGATACGCAATTCAAAACTTGAACAAAATTCTAAACTCAAGATTCAATCAGAATATCATAACAATTTCAAGAAGCTTAGAACAAAAACGGTGGGGTTGGGAACAAAATGCGAGTGGACTCATCCTGACAAAATGAATGGTATATGTGAATGTGAGATAAGAAATGTTATTGGGATGACCGAGTAGGGAAGAGAAGAGAAGATATTGTTAAAATTCAAAATCCTAACTACCACCGCTCGATCTCGTTCATGCACCGCTCGGTCTCGGTCATGCCACCGCTCGGTTGTTAGGACTCAATCCACCCACCGCTTCACCGACCGCTCGGTCTCGGTCATGCCTCACTGGAAATGCATCCTAATAGTAAAAGCTCCATTCAGGATGCACAACTCAATGCAATTGAAGTTTTCAAAATCATCAACACAAAAGACAGTCTTGTTGAACTGAACCTAGACCCTCTTCCACAAACCCCTAATAAACAAATCTCAAAGAAGAAAAATAACAGCACCAAGAGACCCCTAACTGCTGAAGTTGCTGGTGCAGTTTTCGGTGTCGTTTTCCTCTCTCTCACTGTTTTGTTCCTCATCAAACACAGAAAGAACGTCTATGTCAACAAGGCTCCCAATAAAAAATATGGAACTTCTCTGGGTAGTGGCTCATCTTCGCTACCCACCCACCTCTACCGCCACTTCTCAATTGCAAAAATCAGAGCAGCAACCAACAACTTCGATAAACTCTTAGTCGTTGACATGGGGGGCTTCGGTAACGTGTGAACGAAGACTCTTTTGTAGTGAATGGAGACTCTCGAGAAATTACACCTCCAGCGGTGCAAAAGCCGCAAGCAGAGAGCTTTGGAGAGGGAAGGTCGATCGCCGGCGAGACTTTTCCAATGCGGAGGCGCCGTGGAGCGGGTTCTCAACAGTAACGACAACCTTTGGGTAACTGTTAAAGATTGATTAGATTGACACGTTTCAAAAGAAAAGAAAAGTGATGTGGCTCGCCATTTGCCACATCAACGAAAACTTAACGTCGTTCAATTTTAAAACTAATAGGATGAAAATGAACAAACCTTTCGAAGATGGATAAAACCCAAAATCGCTTGATAGTTTATGAACTAAAAACATATTTAACCCTATTTTTAATTATCCTTCAAATTTTTTTCCATTTTAAATTATTCTTATTGTTTTCTGAAAAAATTTATGCTCATCCGCTTTACTATGCCATACACCCTTCCGCTGTCACTCCCCCACTCACCCCTTCCAAATTTAAATGATGCCAAAATCATCTCCCCCTCAGTACATAAATCAAAGCTACTTTTCAAGAGTTAATAAAAATGATAGTTTAATATATACAAATTTTTTATATTTATTTAATATTATATTTTTTATTTTATTTTATTTTTTAAAAATACGTCACACCATCGTTACTCTATTAAAAATCCATGTTATTCTAATAAAAGTAAAAAATTTAAATATTATTTATAAACAATTTGCAGATATATATGTTTGGAAAACGTCAACAACACTACTTCTTTATATCAGAACAACAACAAATGAGAAGGAGCCACAGGCAATTAACCATATATTCATCTTTATTTATTTATTTCTCGTAGAACGACACCAACACTCTCTTTCTTCTCCTAAAATCTGATTCACATCATCAACTGTGTTACAAAGAAACCTACTCTTCAAACCACCAACTCTCATCCTCTGCAGAAACTGATTTTCTTATATAAGCTCAGTGCAACACAATCTGTAAATCTTCTTATATTCTCAGTATATACTCACCATACCTTTGAGCTCGCATATCTCTCTTCCTTCCTTTTTCATTATTTAACTTTTTCAACTTTTCTTAATGACAAGGCTTTGAGAACGCTAGTCCTAAAGCTATCAACTCCATCTCAGTCTCATCCTCTGCAGAAACTCATTTTCTTAGATCAGCTCAGAGCAACGCAATATGTAAGTCTTCTTCTATTCTCAACACACTTTTGAGTTCTCAGTTCTCAGATCTCTCTTCCTTCCCTTTTCATTATTTAAACATTTTCTTCATTACAAGGGTTCTGGAAATATTTCACCAAAATCCACAACTTTTTCTCCAGATAACCCTATAAAAGACTCCAACGCATTAAGTGAGAACTGTCAAATTCATACAAGGTAACGTCAATATGATATAAACCTTTATATATATAGATGGATAATTTAAATTGTGATTAGTATTTCTTTCATATTTCTATTTATTTTTATTAGTTATGTTCATTAAGCTTTTCTTAATTTAAATTGTGATTAGTATTAATATTTATTTTTGTGCTCATCTTTTTGTTTAAGAATAAATATTGGAAGAGGAAGAAAAAGAAAAGCATTGAATGTTTAAAATTGTTATATTTGTGTGCTCTTGTTATTTGTTCGTGATGCATCCTTTGATACTCTCTGAAATATAAATATGTCGTTGAAATTATAAATAAATTATTTAAATTTTATACGTAAGAAAACACATTATGATAAAAAAAGTCTATACAACTATTAATAAAAAAAAATAAGTATGGTTGAATATAGTGAAAACTATGTATAAGATTAACAGTACTTATGTTGAATATACACATAGAGGAGTACTTTATTTATAATAGAAGAAATATGAAAAACATAAATGTCCACTATAGGCTACTTTGATATCATATTAGAAGGTGAGTTTAAGTCTAAATCAACCTCATAAAACCAGCTTGTAAGGTGAGATTTGCACTTCACTTATATATTATAATTTGACTTTATCTCTAATCGATGTGAACTTTCAACACATCCCTTCATACTGAGATAAAACCAATTCATAGTTTATAAGTAGGTGCAAACCACCTATAAACCAGTTTTATAGGATTGAACTAGGTTTTAAATTCACTTTCTAATATTTATCATGATATTAACGAAAGAAAGTGGAGGAAATTTAAAGGATAATATATGCCCTAGTATTTTGTTGATAGCATTTTTTATAAAACATATTTGTGGAAACAAGTCTGAATCAGACCTAGATCTAATCATAATCATAATAAATAGAGATGGTGAATGCTGACAACCACTGTACAGATTAAATAATTGAGTCTGACAGCTGTTTTCAAATAATAGTGGTTAGGAAGAATAAAATATTAGAACATAATATACCATCAAGACCAAAGTTAATAATAATTAAGAATTTACATAAACAAAGTTGGACCTGTTCTCTCTTTCTCAGAAGCCACATAATTGTAAGCCTCTGGTTGCTTCAACAAAGTTGGACCTGTTCTTCAATTTATTTTAACGGATTTACAAATAAGTAAAACCACATATTTAAAAGAAAGGGTTAGATTTTCATTTTCACAAAATAAAAAAAGTTGTGTGGACGAATTTTGTAATTACCGTATGATTTTTTTTAATTCCTTTTACATTTTACAGTTGTATGAGATGCAGGAGATTCATTTGTTATAAAATAAAAATAATAATTATTTTCATGATAATAATAATAATAATATTAATATTTTTATTATTTTAAAGAATAATTTAAATTTTATTTTAAGATAATTTTTCTATATGTGTATATATTATTAATAACAAAAATAATAATAATTAAAAGTAATTATTATTATTATAATACAAATATTTTTATAATTTATAATATTAATAATAATAATATTATACTTATTATATGATACACAAATATTTATAAACTTTTTCTTCAAATAGTTTTATTCATTCTTTTAATTCTCTTAATCTAAAAAAAAACACTACAATCGTTTCGTTTCTGTTTCTTATTCATTCCTTCTTGTTTCTACAAAAGATTTATAAAATGATTAGATAATATATAACTAATTAGAAAAAACTTTAGCAATAGCTTTTTAATTACTCCACCCAACTAAAGAACTTCACCTTCATCAATAATCTTTGTCAGTATTCGAACCTAAAAACGCAACCTGGCAAAAACCTACAACGAAAATGGATTATGGTTGTTATAAAATATAAAGGATAAACTGAAGAAAAAAAATGAAAGTACAAGAATAAGTCGTCAGAGTGGAGAAAGCAAAAAGCTCAGTTTCTGTTATTGGACCAATAGATTGGCCCCAAAATTTTAATAGTAAATTTCACATTGTACTCATTCATTGATTCATCATGTTTTCTTCCTGCACCCTTGTAGCCTTATTGAAATAATCTAATTATTCATGATAAAAAATTTAATAAAAAAAAATCTAAAATCTCTTCACTTCCACTTGTTCTTCTGTGTTCCTATGCACAACGCCACAACACCCACCTTATCCTCTCCACATCCATTTTTTTCCATCAACGGTAAAAAGCTTTTGAAAATGAAAGTGTTTGAACTATATAAAAAGTAATTAGTCTTTTCAAACTATTTAACCGAACACTTCAATTCAATACAATAATTAAAAGTATTTTATTATCTTTATTTTTTAAAAAATTTAATTCTTTATCAACTTTACATATCACTCCAAATAAAATAAACATTATTGATAGTCAAAATTTGTTGAAAACGGAAAAAAACAGTTGGGAATAACTTTTTTGATAGATTTATGATGAACCAAAATCTATCAATATAATGCAGTTGGGAATATGTTATCGACGGTAATTTATATCCGTTGGTGAATATTAAAGAAAAATTTGTTGGTAATTATTGAAAAAAAATTTATCGATAAATTTCATATCACAAGTTAATTTTTCTTTTTCTTCTCTCCTTCTTCTTCTTTCTTTTAGGGCTGCAAGTATTTGCTTTTCCATCGTGCAAATGCTTCTACACCCCTCGAGATTCAATTGTCTCATTCTCTTAACCTCCACATTAAGGTTTTGGTAGTTTAGATCAATGGCCTCTCAATTAATCTGAGAACGAAAGCTACCACCAAAACCAAGAGTAGGAGACGATGAGATAGTGATGAAGATCAGCATTTCAATGAGGCCATAGAGCTTTTTGTTGGATTTGATGACTGCATTGCATCCATAACGACGACAACGATAACATTGGACGATTTAGTGCTTTCCCAATTGGAACATTGTGCTGTGGTGGTGGAGGTGGGTGCTTTTTCACCATGTTGTTTTAGCATGGCATTATTGTCGAAACTGAAGTTGGTGGTTCTCCATGCGATGCAGAGAAAGAGAGGAAGAGAGAAAGGAGTGAACAAGAGAGCCAGTGTATCTTTATGTCTAAATCCGGTGTATTTTGGACATAAAATTTGACTTTCTTTTTATCGATGGATTTATAGACAGATTAATCAATTGATAATACATGTTTCATTTATCGAAGGATTTTATCGATGAAAAAATTTGTCATTATATAAAATATGTATTATCGACGAATTTAACAACAAATCTTTTAGCCGGTAAAATCTATTAATAATAAAAATTTCAAAATCCATCGATAATTCAAATTTATCAACAAATTTATTTTTGTTGGTAAAATTTCATTGGTAATTCCATGGATTTTTGTAATGTATTAACTTATAAGGTGATGCCTTATTAAGACCAAATCAAAATATATAAGTACGAATGCATTTCACCTTCTTTCCTTATTGCATCTTAAAAAAAGTATGAAATTCATCAAACTTTTCAAGTACTTGATCTTTTTACTGAAATGCATAGACCTATAGCTTCTTAGAACAATATAAGTAACAAAGTAAAGTACACCACTAAATGAATTTATTATCAATGGGTCATAAATATCAAAAGGCACTAATTCAAGCAACTCTTACCTCACTGAGGGATGATGCTTTAATAACTTTTTGGCAAGTGAAAGAAATTGTTTCAAGTAGTAAATGTAAGTTCCAAGTATTGTTCTCCCAAAAGACTTGTGTTTTGTTTGTTTAATCTTAATTATTCACCAAAGTCAACTTAGAAACGATGATGATGAAATTGAATTATAACAACAATAATTTAAAGATTACGATTGAAATTTGAAAAGAAGCTTCATTGGAATTGGATTTCATGAATCACATCAGAATAAAACTTTGTACAATATAACATATTGTTGTTCACACAT